CGCGACCCCCCCCCCCCAAAAAAAAAAAAAAAAAAAACCCCCCGTGGGGGGTGGTGGGGGGGGAAAAAGCCTCTCCTGCCATGCCTGGTGCTAGGGTGGAACTGGGTGTGGCAGGAGGCCCCATCCTGTAACAGAAGTGAGGGCAACTCAGCAGGTGCCTCTCCCCCCAGGCCACTTTACAAACAAGCCGCTACCATCCGCCGGCACGGTGCCCTGGCTGCAGGGCCTTATCTGCAATGTAAACAACTCCTGTTTCCAGCAGCCAACGCCTGGGGAGAAGCCTGGAGTCCTGAGCAACTTTAAGGACTCCTTGTGAGTAAACTGGGTGGGTGTGGGTTGTTCCTGGAGAGGAGTTGGAGACTCGAGCCCCAGCCTCCCATCCCCTCTCTGCCCCCAGGATCTCGAGGCTCCTTGCAGACACTCGCACAGTGCTCGGGGGCCGCAGCACCACAGAGATGCTTGCTGCCCTGGGGAAACTGATGCCCCTGCTCAGAGGCCTGGGAGGTGGAGGTAGGGAAGAGGGAGCCCTCAGCTTGGGGGACTGAGTCCCGCAGGTGGTGGGGGATGGGTAGGGAGCACCTCAAACTGAGCTTTGCCTTACATTGGCATCTTCTCCCCAGTCTGGCCACAAGACAGTAACCTACAGAACAAGCAAGCATCAGTGACCACTGAGCTCAAAAAGATCCTTCAAGGGGTGAGGAGGAGCTGGCATGGTGAGGTACTCCCGTGTGTGAGACCTGGAATAATCCTTCCCATACCTCATTTGTAGAAGGGGCTCAGTGGATGGCTCACCTGCCCAGCACTAAAGCCATGGGCTCCATCCCAGCTCCTCTGGAGTCTCAGCACTCAGGAGGTGGACTGGAGGATCAGGAGTCTGAGGTCATCCTTGGCCTGAGGATGATTGCACAGACCACCCAGGTCTGGGCCATCCTTGCTGTCTTGTCACAGGTGTCCCTGGATCCTGTGCTGGGTCAAGCCCAGGGTCCCTTGAGGAAGTTCTTGGATGCCACTGGGGATCTTACTCAGGAGGTGAGTCTCCACCCCAACCAGCCAGGAAGCAGGAAGCAATAAGCAATAAGCAGACTGGGAAGCTGGGGCACCTATAGGTGAGCCTGGCTGGGTCCCTCCCAACTTCAGACTCCAAGTTGATAAAAGCTATGTGTGATGGCACATTGTTGTCATCTCCACACCTGCTCCAGAGGCTGGGGGCTGGGGGGGGGGGACGGACAGCAGTGAGCTTGAGGCTAGCTCAACACAATATCTCAATCAATCAAACAAATAAACAGAAGGGCTGGCAATGTAGCTCAATTGGTAGAGCGATGTAGCCCAATTGGTAGAGCCCAGCATTCATGAAATCCTGGACTCTAACCCTAATTCCCAATAACGCTCCTGTCATTCCAGACTCAGGATGTTGAATAAGTAAGGCCAGCCAGCTACATGAGACTGTATTTCAATAAAATAAACAAAAAGGCTCCAAAGCTACACAGAGAAACCCTGTCTCGAAAAACAAAACAAAACAAAAAAAAGGGATGGTTTAGGGCATTCTACAGGAGGTGTCCAGCAACCCCCTGGTGACCTTTCTCTAGCTCCTGAATCTGCCCAGCCTGCTGGAACTCCGAGCTTTGCTGCATAGGCCCCGAGGGTCAGCTGGTTCGCTGGAGCTGATTTCAGAGGTCCTCTGCAGTACCAAGGGGCCCAGCAGCCCTGGGGGCCTCTCCCTCAATTGGTATGACACCAGCCAGCTCAATGAGTTCATGGATCCAGAGCTGGCACCTGCCCTGCCTGACAGCAGCCTCAGTAAGTCACTATGATTGAGCTGGTTCCGCGTGGGGCTGATGGAGGGTAGAAGGATGCAATGGGGCTTCATGTTGTCCCCCCAATACCAGGCCCTGCCTGCTCCAAGTTCGTGGGGTCACTGAATGACCACCCTGTGTCTCTACTGCTCTGGAGTCGCCTGAAGCCATTGATCCTTGGAAAAATTCTCTTTACCCCTGACACAAACTTCACCCGGAAGCTCATGGCCCAGGTGAGACACAGGAGCCAGTGGGGGTACAGCGCTCTACACAGTATCCTAGTCAGGCCAAAGTAACGGAATAAGAGGCAGATGAGGGCTGGGGGCGTGGTTATGGGTGGAGCCCGGACTAGAATCCTCCAGTGAGGGACTGGGGGTGGGGTCATGGTAGAGCCTCTACCTAGACTTCACCAGTGAGAGGGCTAGCTGGTAGTATAGTCATAGGTGGAGCTCCACCTAGAATCCCCCAGTGAGGGATTGGGGGCATGGTCAGGGGTAAATCTCCTCCCCAGAATTCCCCAATGAGGGCCTCATGGCATGATTGGTAGAGAACTCCTGCCTAGGATCCCTCAGTTAGGAGCTCTGGGGCAGGCTCAGTGTGAGGGGGTCACCTGTATACATAGGGCTCTAGGCTCTATCCTTAGAATTCAAAGTACAAGTTAATTAATTTTTAAAGATTAGAAAAAACACAAGTTAAAGCAGTGGCTCTTTCTTTAGAGCCTGACCACATAGGTTTATAATCCCAGAAAGAAGGTGGGGCAGGAGCAACTGGAGTTCCATCCTAAACCATAGGGTTAGACACTGTTGAAAATAAGGAAAACAAGCCAGGCGGGGGTGATGGCACAGGCACAGGCACAGGCCGCTGGATCTCTGTGAATTCAAGGCCATCCTTGTCTGCAGAACGAATTCCAGGACAGCCAGGGCTACACAGAGAAAGCCTGTCTCGAAAAACAAAAACAAAAATGGGAAAAGAAAAGGTCCAGTGGTAACGGCACACTAGCTTAATCCCAGCGCTTGGGGAGCAAGTGGATCTCTGTGAGCTCCCAGTCAGCCAGGGATGCATAGTGAGACTGGATGATTGGTGATGATGATAGTGACAGTGACGATGATGATAGAGATAATGATGATGATAGTGATAGTGATGATGATGATAGTGATGATGATGGTGATGATGATGATAGAGATGATGGTGATGATGATGATGATAGTGATGATGATGAT